GACGGTGGGTGGGCCATCGCCACTTCATCAGAAACAGACGAAGGACCTCGTTGTCGCCAGGCTTTGAGAAGAGGATGCAGGATTGATTGGGTATATATATTTCGCTCTTTAGACATCTACACTCGTTACTTCAACCCATCATTTACCCTCTTGCTCTTGATTCATTGCCATTATATACATGTATAAGATATCATCGAAGCCATAGTGCGAAATCCACTTCATGCTTTAATTCCAAGACGTTGGATAGGATAGAATTCAGGCAACATCTCTCGTCATTTCTTCAGTGAGAGCGATTTCATCTGCTCAGTCAGACCAGGTTTTGAGCCCTTCTTAGGACCGCTTATCGATAGGTTCTGCATTGGTTGCGCGAGGGGGTCCTGGGCGACTGGTTTTGGCTCAAAGTAGTCGGGCATGGCACCACCGAGGGAGCTATATAAAGTATGTGGAACAGCATAGCTTGCAGTGTGCATGGCGTTGGATCCATTGGTGTTGGCAGAGGTAGGTTTGAACATTGCAGAGGTGGATGGGTGTGTAATTGGGTAGTAGGACTTGTACTGGGCAGTCGAGGAGGCTTGCTTGTGGTCGATACTGACCCGAAACTCTCAACTTATACCATGCCCTCTGAATTCCTTTGGGTTTCCTCTTGACGACTGTGCAAAAGGATGGACCACTTTGATTCATGCTTGGACACAGACCTTGGGGAAATTTCAAAGTGGCCTTCGTCCGACGCTCTTAAAGTGAGCTTAAACCCGTATTGATCGACCGTCGCGGATCGCCACACTTTTGTGATTGAGCAGCCGCCCAGGGCCCAGGTTGGTGATCGCTTGCACTGAGCAAAGGTCGAATGAGGTCGGCCGGGTCCATGTAGCTTTCTTTATTTGAGATCTGTACGGTTTAGGTCCGGTAGGTCTGGGGTCGACCTTCGTTGCCAACGAGAAATCGCCAAATATGTTAAGCACCATTTCGGATGGGCTTAGGAGAGAGCGCTCAACCCCACTTACACGATCTCCAAGAATATGAAGCTCAATACCGCCCTGAGATACATACGATTCGGATCCTTTGCAATTAATTTGCAATCTCAGTCTGGTTGTAATTTGGCGTTTGTGTATTAAAGAGACGGAGACTACATCCTAGGCTATTACGAAATCGGACGTGTCTAGTGCATTTCGTCTCCTTTGGTCGTGCTCCTAAACACAATCTTCGCTGACATGGTAGAAAAATACGTCAGGATTCCGACTGGATGTCGTTGGGAGGCGTCGAACCTCCCAATCGCCAACCTCGTTATTACGTCTTTCCCCAAAGGGAGCCAAGAGGTTGCGAATTGCCTTTACGCCATGCTCCGATTCTGTTCCTTTGTGTGGATTTGATATATGACTCAATGAATTGCGATCATCCCTCAGAGTGTTACGGTAAGGATTCCTCAATCCAGGAGGAATAACAAGTGCAGTGAATAAAGTGGCCTTCGTCCGACGCATTTACAGTGAGCTTAAAGCCGTAATAAACGACCGTCATGGATCGCCGTACTTCTGTGATTAGCCGCCCAATGTGATCGCCTGCATTGCGTAAAAGTTGAATACGGGTGGCCTTTTCGACGTGAAATCCTCTCAATGATGGGTGTGGGCATGGCGTGTGAGGTTTAAGACGTCTGGGATCAACTTGACCTTCAACAGGAAATCGCCACACGGATTAAGCGCCGGATGGCAAGTGCTTATGAAGTTATGATAAAGTGATCCAAGCGTATTGTATGACGTGATCGAGTCCAGTGCTAACAAAAATCTAGATCCCATACTCCTTTTTAATGTCACCAGGAGTAATCGAACCTCCCACTCGTCAACCTTGCGCTGCACGCTGGATACTATGGTGTGAAGAAAGGCTGGCAGCTACCAGTATACTACAACTCTCTCGTTGAACGTGTAAAGGCTACTACTGGCATCTGTTGGGACACTGGGTATGCGAGAGGATGTTAGGGAGCAGACAACTGTTTCTTGATTGCTGGATCAAAGGGATAGAGAAATAAGACGCCCATGCAATAATAAAGTATGGATGTATCTAGGGCATTTCGTCTCTCCTTTCAAGTTCGTTCATCCAAGGGCAGGTCAAAAGTTTGGAAACCCCAGATGGATGCCGTTGAGAGGCGTTAAACCTCCTACTCTCCACCTTCGCGATTACGTCCTATGCCGTAATGAGCCGAGAGGTAGACAATGTCCAGTAAGCAACGTTACGATGCTGTTCCCTTGGGTAGATTGGCATATAATTCTATGAATCACGACAGTCCCTCAAATCGCTACGAGCTGAGCTGATTATTCTGAATGCCTTGTCTCAATACAAGAGTGGCGAATTATAGAATTGGCTAATTATAATGTAACTAGTCGTTCCTTTCTCTACGTAGCTCGACAAGTTCAGTCACGACTCAGATCTCAAATGCCTCGAGTTCCTACGCTCACTGCTCAATCTTTACCTCAAGCCGCTCACGTTTCACATTGACAGGTTGCGAAGATTGCGATTTCTGCTTGACACCCGCCTTCTGAGGCGATTCAGGTTTCACAGTGGTCGAAAGGGAAGAGCTTGTCGGTACAGCTTTCGCTGTTGTTTCTGGACTTGAAGACCCAACTCGGGTCGTACTCGACGCAACAGAACTGGCCTCTCCATTTGAAGATGCCTTCTCCCGCAAAACCGTAGACGCACCGTGCATCCTCTGCAGGGGCGGCACCTTCTCAGCCATGGCACCTGATAAAGAGGTGTATGTCGTGCTAGGAACTAGGCAAGCTGGAGTATGCATGCGGCGGGGGGTGAGAGCATCGTAGAGCGAGCTATAGGACGTCGGGGGGATGTGCGATGGAGGTGTATGGATCGAAGAGGAGGAGGAGGAGGAGGAGGAGGAGGAGGAGGAGGAAGGGTTCATGGTCGATTATATTGAGCCGACGAAGGCTTTGAGAGTGAGTGAGATGTTTGATTATGGATAGAATTGGCCTCTTCAGCTGGTTGTGCAAACGCATACCCCTCAAATCCTGCACTTATACCACCCTCTTACTCCTCTTTGTCGTTGAGGAAACCCACTCTTTGGACCATGTCCTCCATCGCTGAGAGCAGATAAATTTGAAAGAGGAAGCGGTCCTTTGAGACGCTATGACCCTTAGAATGCACAAAGCGACCTCATAGTGGCGAATGCCAAATCGGGTCTGAGGAATTGAAATGATCGGACCGTCAATTGTTTCGCTGTTAAGCGCCCGTTGTGAGCGAGATGCCGCGAGTCCTTTGACCGCGTGCGGGCAGTGCAGTTAAAGTGAATTGTCAGAGTTTATAGTGTGGCTTAGTTGGAACACCATGGCGGCTACAGACCTCAGTGGTGGATGCGACGAATCCTGGAGTGAGCCAACATTGTGTAGTAAAGGGCACAATCGTCCCAAACCCAATTGACTCAGCTTCCCTCCTAGATTAAATGGGATTATCGAGGCAGCGGGTTCAAGCAATAAAAATTGACTACGAACCCTTGATTGTATTTCCTAGTCGGGGAATCGAACCTCGAACTCGCCTTCCCCTTCAAGCTCATGTAGCTATGAAGGGTTGAAGAAGTACCGCTTTACCATACCACAAGTGGACAGTGGTGAAGCCATGATTTCTCTATAGATGTGAGAATCCACGGTAAGAGTTTCTACGCCTTGGTCAGACTGCTACCGTTGCTATAAATTTCGGAAGGCTCAGAGTGTATCACAGGTGTGACGAGTCCAGGAGAGTGCACTGCTTGTGCTGGATGGCACAATCGTTTCAATCCCAAATCTTGAACCAAAATCTCCTCTCAAAAAACGATGCTTACTGTAGATCTCTGCTTCCTATCTCATACACGGCTAGTTCAAGCAATAAAATGCATGTTATCAGACAGGATTTCCGAGATGGGAATCGAACCCCGAGCTTGCGTTTCCCTCCAACCTCGTGCATGTACCTGTGAAGGGACGCCACTGCGCCATACTGGAGATGGATGTTATCGACGCCATTGATGATATCAACGTGGTACAAACAAAAGATAACTCAAGAGAAATACAGCGTTTGGGATATAGGCCGGTGATCGTCGCTGTATGTGCGAGCTCAATAGCGGGATCCCCCCCAGTACCTCTCATTCAGCAGCTGTTCACGAGTCTACAAACAGTAGACTCAATGTTAGCGTGAAGAATCTATTGCTCATTTCATCGAGAGAGCGGGCTATAGCTACCAGAACAGGTGGTGGGGCCTCTACTTCTCACTAACGGGCAACAAGATAACGAAGGGGCCCCTATTCAAACTTTACCTACCCCCATTTACAAAAGTATATACCGAAAGGAGCATACCCCGATACAGGGAATCGAACCCCGAGCTACCGCGCTCATAAATATGTAGCTAAAGCAACTGAACTTTATGAAAGGCGGTAATGTTAGCCTCTACACCATATCGGAGGCGGAGGTTTGGTCATTGAGGCGTTGACGCCTTGAGCGCCTGTCTCTAGCGAGGTACTTACAGACTAGGACCCAAGGGTACTGGAAGACCAGGCTTAGTTCAGGTATAGATTACACCGGGGTGTGTAGACTGACCTTTCCCTTGAAAATGCTTATACCTTTGGAATTCTCGAACTTGTAACATTCTAAGCGGCCTAACCATGATCGGCAATGTAGCTCTGAAATGATCAGATGTTCGGGCACTATTAAGCGCCCATGAGGAGGAGGAGGTGCAGCCACAATACAGCCGCCTCCTTGACTATGCAAATCCAACAAAAAGTATCGCTTAGGTCCTCTAGTTTATTGGTAGTGCTGAGCCGCGCTCCTAAGTGCTATGCTCCGAGTCCTAATTCCCACTTCTTGTGACAATGCCCACCCCTGAAGTATTGCGTGTTCAGCGACAAGTATGACTCGGAGTCTGTTCGAAGGGCTCCCAAAAATAATATCGGAAGGGCCCTACTGGTTGCACTTTCGGGCTTTCCAAGTACTTGCATCCCTCGTCTGACAAGCAACAAAGTGGAAGGGAGGTAAAAGTTCCGATACGGGGAATCGAACCCCGAGCTACCGCGCACATAACTTTCGCAAGTCATTATATGAAAGGCGGTAATGTTAGCCGTTACACCATATCGGATATGAGAGACGTAACGACGCTAGTTAATAATATAGATAAAAAAATGGCCGATGAGCAGCGATCACCGACATCGCTTTGATTAGATTTCCCAGCAAGGTGAACTCTGACGCGCTCATCATCTTCTTGGTCTACGCTCTTCGATGCGGTATATCCGTCTATCTTGGTATTCTTGGAAGTCAAATTCTCTGAGAACTTGATACAGCAAACTACTACGACAAGTTACAAGACTTTAGAAGACGATCTGCGGACTTTAACACACCTGCCATTCAAGCACACAACTACAATTTAGAGGAGCGGACCTGGCTACGCTAGGATGGGAAAGAAGAACGCGAACGCAGCCGCTAAAGCTGCAAAGAAAGCCAAGGCTCAGCTAAAAGTTGAGAGGAAAGAGAAGAAGAAAGTCTTGAAAGAGACTGGGAGCGTCCCAGGTGCGCTTCCTCCTTCCCTCCCTTCCTCCCTCGACCTCACTGACATACTCCTACCACTACAGCCCAACAAAAGAAGAAAGGCAAAGGCGGCAAGAAAGGACGCGGAGGTGGAGGTAAAGACGATGAAGACAGCGACGACGACCTCGAAGGCATCCTCGAAAAGATGCGCAAGGAACACGAAGCAGCGCATCTCGTCACTGAAGAGCTCGTAGCTGGTCCCCCGTCTCGACGTGCCAATGCAACGCTGACACCGTGTCCTAATGGAGGGCATCTATGGAGTATTGGAGGGGAGTGGTTTAGCGAGGATGGCAAGGCCGTGAGTTTCTCTTCCTTGCGGTTATGGAGGGGGAAAGGGAGAGAGAAAGACGAGGAGCTGATGAACCCAGATAGCACTTTTACAACGACGTGTTCAGGTATACCCCAGAAAAGGACGAGTGGAGAAAGTTTGTCACGCCTACATGTCCTGGGCCTAGATCTGCACATGCAGTCTGTTCCTCGCCTGCTGGAGGCGGAAAGTTATTCTTGTTCGGTGCGTTCTACGGCTGCCGTCACCTCCTCCCCCTCTTCTTGACGTCTATCGTCATCAGGCGGCGAATTCTCCTCCCTGCACCAAAACTCTTTCCACCACTATGGCGATTTCTGGTGTTTCGATGTCACATCGCACACATGGGACCGTATCGAGACCAAAGTCAGACCGAGCGCTAGGTCAGGTCATCGAATGGCGATGTGGAAGCACTTCGTAGTGCTATTTGGAGGGTTTTATGATCCTGGCGTCACGAGTGAGTTGCTTTTACCTTGTCCTATGCCGGAGCCTCGAGCGAAGGAGGTGGAGGAACCGATACTGATCATAGGTTGTAGCCAGGTACCTGAACGACCTCTGGATCTTTGACACACAAGAATATGTTTGGAAGCAGGTCGAGTTTCGAGAGACAGAGTTAAAGCCCTCGTACGTCTCTTCCTCCTCACATTCCCTCCCTTCCTCAGCGGCTTATACACATGACCAGACCTCGAAGTGGATTCTCGTTCCTCCCTTGTGCGGAGGGCATCATCCTCCATGGTTCGTACACCCTCTCTGCCGGCTAAAGCTACCAAACCTGACTGAGGGTTTTTAAAGGCGGGTACTGTAAGCAGTATGCAAAAGGCAAAAGGCCGGTGGGCGTCATGTTAGAAGATACCTGGTTACTCAAGTCCGTCTGTCCTCCTCTCCCTCCTCTCCCCCTCCTCTCGCTTACCTTCATTGACCCAGGCTCGCCTTACCCGAAACATCAACAACCCCAGCAACACCTTCCACTCCCTCCACGTCCACAGCGTCTTCGTCGAAAAAGGTCAAGGGAGGAGCGGCAAATGTTGGAGGAGGATGGGGTAAAGGACCTGCGGTACCGTTGGGTTTGACAGCCAAGTGGGAGAGGAGGAAGAGGCCTAGTGATGCGTTTGCGCCTAGTCTAAGGAGCGGTGAGTCTTTTTTCGTCGTTGCCATTTATCGCATCGAGCCCTGCTTTGTCTTTGTCGAACATGACCTCGTCGTTCTCCGCTTCGTCTTTGGACTCATCACCGTTCAACTCGGAGCTGATGCCTTGTGCAGGATGTACGATGGCGCTGTGGCAAGCCAAGAATATGGGTGTCATGTTTGGTGGTGTGACGGATGAGGATACGAGTGAGGAGACGCTTGAGAGTGTGTTTCATAATGATATGTGAGCGCTTCCTTCCTTTTCCATCTCCCACACGTTCCTCTACCCATCTCTCTACCCATCTCTTTTCTGTACACAGCACGCTCTGCCTTTCCCCAAACCGGCGGGTTCTTGACTGTTTCTCCCCTCCGTATTATGACCACGACGAAAGACTGATACGTTTCGTCCAACGCTTCAGGTTCGGTTATCAGATCACGGGCAAAGGACGTTGGGTCAGTCTTGGGCTCAAGATTCCAAAAGCGAAGGGAGGGAAGAAGAAACAGAAAAAGGGCGGTGGTGGGAGGGGTGAGGATTACGATAGTGATGATGAGGTGCGTTGGGTTACCTTCTTTTCTCCATCTGTCGTTTTCTTTTGGGTTTCGTTCTCTTGGGTCTCCTGCTCCCGCTGGTCCTCCAGATGCTTGTCATTCTCTTGAGCGTGCTTCGCCGCCTGAATGTCCTCGATTTTGGATCTGCGTACTGACAAGTACCCTTTTCAGTGGAGACAAACGCCGTTGACGCCCGCGACGCCCGCAATAGCTCAACCGACACCTCAAGAGGCACAAGAGGTGGAAGACCCAAATATGACCATCCCGACGCAGAGGTACAACACCATGTTGGCGGTGTTAAAAAATAATCTCTACATGTGCGTTGTGATCTCTCTCGTCCCAGCTTATCTTCTCCATGTTTAACTGATTAAACGATCCAGATACGGTGGGATATTCGAAAAAGGCCCCAAGGAGTATACACTCGACGACTTTCATTCGATCCAACTGGATAAATTGGAGCGATTTACGTGTTTGAGAAGGTTGAGCTTTGAGATTCCGACTGGGGAAGATGAGGAGAGTAGTGAAGATGAGGATGACGAAGATGACGAAGACAATAGCGACGACGACGAGGAGGATGAGAGCGATGAGGAGGACGAGGAAGAGGAGTGGGAGGGGAAATATGACACTTATCCGACAGGAGATGATGATGAAGTTACGGTGGTTGGTGAAGACGATGGGGTGGAGGAGGAAGGAAAGGAAGATGTTATTGAAGAGATAAAACTAAAAAAGAAGAAAAAGGTCAAGGTTGATGATGAGGGAGAAGGCGACGACGAAGAAGAGGATAAAGAAGAACGACGTAGAAGGAGGAGGGAGAAGAAGGAAAAGAAACTTGCGAAAGCTGCTGCTTCTGCTGCTGCAGACGACCAGGCAGACGTCGTAACAGCCGAAGATGCAGAGCCCGAAGGCGAAGTCGAGGAAGTCGAAGAAGAACCAGAGCTACGACAAGAAGCACGCAAGTTCCTCACTTCGTCGAATGATGCGGCTGCGAGGAGTGCAGAGGAGGCGATGAGTACGCCGATTCCTGGAGAGACGTTGGCATTGTTCTATGCTCGGAGCCGTGAGTGCCATGAACCCAACTTCAGAGTACAGATACTGATTCCGCGGGTGTCTAGGCGACTATTGGACGCAACGAGCGGCTCAAGACGACAGAGAGGGCGAGAATAGAGGGAAGGAGCTCAGGAGGGTTGGCTTTGCGTTGGCTGAGGAGCGGTATGGTACGTCTTCCTTTCACCTCTTCTTACCATGCTTCCTTTGGAAACTGACGGGTCTTGGATGAATAGACGCATATAAACCACTCCTGGCAGAGGTCGAGAAGATCTTGGCAGAGGCTGGGTTGAATGAGGAGGAGATGAGGATGAGTGCGCAGAGTGGAGGTGCGCAAGGGTCAGGGGGAGGAGGGATTAGTCGGAATAGGAGGTAGGGAGCAGAGGTCGACGGTGGCTGTCGTCTGGTTTCACTTTCGCGCAGTGGTGTTGATTGGGTATTGATTAGCAGATGTGTCATAAGAAAAAGGCTGTTACAAGTACAGTTGCGACAAAGACCCTGGCAATTCGATCTTTTACTGTGCCTCTCTCTCCTCCGTGTCTACTATAGGGCAGTAAGTACTTCCCCGAATCAAGCAGACAACTGTTCCCTTCGAATCGGCAAGCAAGCGAAATGGGTCACTTGCGCGGGCTGAGGCGCTTGTGCTGGGCATTAGGGACGGTCAGACCTGGGAATCGGGGTCGATTCCGAGGTCGATTCCGAGGTCGATTTGATCAAAATCGAATGGCATCGATTCTGCAGAATCGACCTTGCGCCAAAGCGACTATTTAGTCGCTTTGGCACCTCAAAACGGCCGTTTCGATTCAACAGCTGCCTGTTCTTTTGTGGCCTCCCTGTATATAATAGTAGGATTAAGGACTCAAAATATGACATTTGGGCTCTTCTAAAGCCTGACTCCCAACTGACATGTTTTTGGTGCCCAATACCCACAAACCGCCTGCTAAGCCACTGCTGCGTGCACAAAATCAACAGAATACAAGGTATGTATAGAAGGAGCTACTGGGTAACATATATCTGGACTTTTACGCAAGTAGCGGTACAGTACAATACAAGTTGAGGTGAGTACAGTGGCTAGTGGATTTCTTCCAAAATCGAAGCGGAAATCGACGCGGAAATCGACTCTTGAAGCGGGTCGGTCAGAGTGAGATTCGATTTGAGGTCGATTCGGGTCAAGAATCGGCGACCAAATCGACCCTCGAATCGACCTCCGAATCGACCCCGATTCCCAGGTCTGACCGTCCCTATTGTAATGTGAGGAAAGTACTGAAAGTGAATGATCACAATGCGTCGACAATCAGACCCGATTGAAGGACAGTGGAAGCAGCGATGAACCCACGCGTTCATTGGTAGAGAGCCGGCTTGTAGATGCTGCCAGGTCGAAAATTCGGCGTGAACCTGCGGGGATGTTGGAGTAGAGTGTTATGATTTCTTCTGCTGGTGCACATTCGGCTTTGACGACGCCTATTGAGGCGTCTGATGGGTTGCCATTGATCACTTCGAGGTATCGGGCCATGATTTCTGTGAGGCAAGAG